CTCTGTCATTCTACAGAGAGAAAGATTATTCACAAGTGAAAAACAATCAAGACAGTTGCCAACTTTCCACGAGTGGACGTCACAGCAAACGCCAAGGTCAGACTGTGCAATGCTCAGAGAAATTGCAAAAAACCTCCCAAAGGCTACATCTCACACCTTCAGTTAGCATGTTAAATGTTAAAGTTCCTGACAGTAGAACTAGAAAAAGTCTGAAGAAGTACGGCTTGTTTACAAGGTTTGCCAAAAGAAAGCCTCTTTTCTCTAAAAAGAACATGGCAGCATGAGTTAGCATGACTTGCAAAGTTGAAACAAACACCTTTTTCTACGCTTAAGTGTTTTCTAACATTCACACTCTTATGGATGCATCTAACTTAGGGTTAATATTTTGCTCAAGGACATTTTTTTGCCTACAGACTGGAGCAGTCAGGGAGTGAACGACCAAACGTCTAATTCCTAGGGGACCTGCTCTGCCTCCTGAACTACTGCCACCCCAAAGTGGTGTGGCTCAAAGACCCCAACAGTGGAGATGTTTGGCCATAATGCAAAGTGCCACATTTGGTGAATATGAAACGCAGCATATCAGCTCATAGTCTCCGAGTGGTGGAGGGTTTGAGGGGTGATGATTTGGTGTTGTTTTGCAGGGTCTGGACCTGGATACCTTGCAGTTAACTATGAACACCTGTGTATACCAAAGTATTTTAGAGACAAGTGAGAGGCCATCCAAAGCATGCCAAAAATGAGTCAGCAGAGACCACCTACAACCAGCAAATCTCCAAAGAATGGCTGAAAAACAAAAGAATCAAGATACTGCAATGGCCTGGTCAAAGTCCAGACAGTCTAGAGTTAAGCAAGGACCTTCAGAGAACTGTGCATAAACAAATGTCTCAATGAAATGAAGCATCGCTGTATAGAACAGATGGCCTGTTACAGACTGTTACAGTCACACAGAACACAAAAACCCCAGGTTATTGTGGCTAAAAGTGATTTGACAAGCTATTTAATCATGGGATATAGTTCGTTTTTCACACAATACTTCTGCATTTTGGTTTAGTCTTTGTTGAATAAATAATTACATGGAATAATATGTCATATGTTGTTGTTTATCTGAGGTTATATTTGCCTAATTTTAAGACCTGGTCAGAACCAGATCATTTTTTATCATATCCTGATATGTGAAACCTTAGAATTAAGGGTCGGTGCATGATACCATGACTGAATATAGAAGTCTGATTAGTTCGTGGTCTCAGTTGCCAGCTTTTTGTGTCGTGACAAGTTGTAATATTGATTTCCCCAAAGCACTTCCATTTATAGTAAAATAGATGATGAAACAGTGTATACTTTAGGTCAGGCCTACCTTGTGATTGGAAAGCTCTGACTGTTTGACACCTGGCTTCAAAACTCCAAGATGCCAACATTGGAAGCACTTAAAGGCTTAACAGGACTTTACAAAATGACGCATGACATGAAGGTGGCAACATATGTGCTGTTTTTACAGTCTATGAATGGGGGTTAGTTAATACCTGGCTTGTGAACGTGTTGGAACTTTGAGCAGCAGAATTACTTTGTGTTTAGCAGACCATAAAAAGAAACTAACAGGGAGAGAATATCGACTCCAGATGACAGTGATGCTATTCAGCACGTTACTTTTGTCGTGCTACATTGACACTAACATGATGTTATCTGGAAGATGTTAACTGAGGCTGACATTAGTTGTCATTTTTTGTGTAATGACCATTGACAAATTGATCCATCTTTTGATGGGATCACACTAGCTGCAAAGTCCATCGTCAATTCAGTGTCTTATTTTAGCATGTTAGTGTCTCCAGTCTTAGTATATTGGCTACTGATCCAAAGACTTCTGGTTATATAGAAGTCCAAGAGGCACCTTGCTCTACAATCTCAATAAATAATTTCATGTTGACTTTATGAATTAAATTACTAGTCATACTAGTCAATCACTAGAAATTTAGGTTGATGTTGATTACAAGAGTCAGAAATGTGAATTATTAAGATTTGTGACTGAAGTCGTTAATCCTCAGTTTCACAGGAGTCACTGGTCACTCATCACATCAAGATTAAAAACACTAAGATGGTGATGGCAAAAACTCTCTCAGCTTGAGGCTTGTTATGGGAGTGGATAATGTCTTTGGACTTCAGGAGGAAACCAGAGTACTAGAAGAGAACCCACTCAAGCTCAGGGAGAGCATGTAGTCTCCACACACAAGGGCCCCAGCCGGCCGGTGGGTTTGAACCCTCTTGCTCTGAGGCGACAGCGCCAACCACAGCATGCCACCCATATTTGAAATTTGTAAATAGTTTATTGAAAGCAGGGTAATGATGCAGGGATTCGAGTAATGTGATATGAAATGCTATTCTATAACAAGATGAGGGACATTTGAAGTCCTGCCGGAGGACTCCAACTGTCGCACCGTCACTGTAATGTTATTTGTGCGGGCCTCAGGCTACCACTGGCACTGCTGCTTACCTGGCACTGTCCAAGAAATGCCTGTGAATAAGGACATTATTTCTCAAGTGAGGTTGTGATTATATCCAGAGAATTACATTGCGGACAGTGATACATCTCTTTCTGGAGGAGTTATCCACCTGAGCGTGACATTAAGAGAAAATTTCCTTTTACCCGAGCTCAGACTCCAGTAGCATTTTCCAGATAAGGAAGATTAGGAAACATGGATTGTTTAAAAAAATGTTTTTTTTTTTTTAGAAGGATCACAAAATAATCTCAAAATAACTCCGACAAAGTCATTTTAAGTAAACTGGAGTTTAACGACTTTAGATTCAAAGATTTAAACAATTTTTTGTGCCTAAACTAAGGTTACCATTTGGGATACTGTTAGATATCTACATTTGGTTATTTACTTAGTAAATGAAAGTAGTCTTTTAGTCCAGGCTTAGTCAGCTAAAACATAAATGCTTGTATACGTGTCTGAAACCCAGTTCCACAACACTGACTGCTTTCCTATCTGTGCCTGTGTTTTGGAACAGGCTGGCTGAGAGGGTAATATGTAAAGCTGTCTTTACCTACATGTGTGCCAGTACTCTGGCTGACAGCCTGAGGCTGCATTTGCTGCTACCCACATGGAGGTTATCTGCACTGAGTTCATTGTTGCTCTGCACTGAGAGTCTCAGAGCATCTGCACCACCCCGATGGTAGATTCACCATATGCCGTAGCTGTATTACTTTCAGTCGAACAGAATAAGCGTGAATTTGAACATAAAGTTTTAGAGTTTGGAAGGTCGTACACAGGACACAGATGCTGGGCTGTAACATGGCGATTTCCTAATTTTAAGCAGACCAAGTGGCAGGGATGAAAATACCAGTGCCGTGGTGCCCAGTTGGCTGCAGCATTTCCTGAGGGAAGACTGACCGCTCTAGAAAGATAGAGGGAACGACAGCCTATTAACTCGTGGAAACAAGAGAAAAACTAGTGCCTCACAGCCAAGTAGCATTTATATATAGACAAATAGTCTACATGAATGGGTATGAATCTGTATCAGTTGTATATGCAAATGTATTCAGTTCCACAGATTTTAATCTTGCTTCAGTAGATTTCAAACTGATCAAAGTCAGCGCAAGACCACACAGATGTGTTTGTACTCCATGATAGACAAGGCATCAAGCCATAGCCATTTCCTACGGGCTTTGGGTGGATAGCCTCACACTCACTATTAACTGTAGTTTCCAGCACAGAAGAACATTTTCACCTGGTCTAACCTGAGAGGGAGGAACCCTGTATGTTGTGAGCTTCCATGTGCATGTGCGATTTTTCACTGTGATCAGTTGTGAATTAATAGCTGTAGTGGTCACTTTCTGTCCCTGCATTCATATGCTACTTTCCCCCCCTACATCCAAGAAAATGCATTAGCAGGAGAAACCAAGCTAATGATCAAACAGTCATTTACACCAGGTTTGCCTACTTGTTAATTAAATGCGGTCCATCCTAAAAATGACAGCAAGTCTCACGTGTAGCCAAGCAATTACTACCTATACTGGATCTGTGAAATGATATGTAATATATGTATAAATTAAACATCTTCCAGCAGATTAACGCTCCCTCCAAAAACATGTTAAATGGACAATCATGTCGACTACTCACAATGCATGTGACTAGTAGTGCCAACAACCTTTCCAAGCATCTGACAATTGTTTGTAGGCTCGGGCCCATCACAAGCCGCAAATGTGTAACATAGTAAGTACACAAAAATAATAGATCATCACTTGATAGGTCTGCTCCATTCTGTTGGATATAAATTGATATTGCTTTATAAATAAATGTACTTATTTACTTATGCAAATATATTAGGCGCTTCGAGTAGGGATATTTAAAATACTGTTTTATTTACACATGTAAAATATAGTTGTTATTACAAATAGAACACATTTGTTGTTAAAGAGACTTCTGACTCTTACTAATAATCATAATGCGTACAATTAGTTTCTCAACAAGAATCTCAAAATGCAGTGAATATCTGTCAGTTAAGGATGATTACTAAAATATTCAC